TGACCCAGGACAGTGATGGTGACCCAGGGCAGTGAGGGTGGCCCAGGACACTGATGGTGACTGACCCATGGCTCTGATCTGACCCAGCTTTCCCTTTTCCTTGCAGGGAGTCCCCCGTGGACTGCAGTGTGAGCAAGTGTGGGAAGCTGGTGGGAGCAGGCACCGAGTCCACGCCCATGAGCTACAGCACGTACATGGATGAGAAGAACGGGCCTCCCCCCAACATGACCACCAACGAGAGGAGGGTCATTGTCCCTGCAGGTACTGCCAAGCTCTGGGGCTGCTCTCCTTGCTCTGCCTGCAAGAGAGTTTTGTTTCTTTTGTTTATCTGCTCCCAGAGGAATTTTCTCTCTTACAAACCATGTAAAAAATATCAAAAGAGTTTCTGGGTAGTGGGAATCCCCATATCCCAGTGCATGATCTGAATCAGGATGGGCAGCAGATAATTAGTGCTTTTACTTTTATTTTTATTTTATTTTATTTTATTTTATTTTATTTTATTTTATTTTATTTTATTTTATTTTATTTTAATTTTTTTCCTGGAATGAAGTGTTGTTTTGGTGTGCTGAATCAAATCCATCTTCTGCCATGTGTTAGAGGAGAATTTGCTTCCTGGGACACGCAGGGGATGATCAAAGAGGAAAGAAGTGGGCCCGAGTTATAACTCCCCTGGTGCTCTCAGGATCCAGCTGCACTTTCAAGTCACACTGATTGATTCAAAACGAGCTATTTTGTTTCCATTTTTTTTGTTAGAAGTAGAAAGCAAGAAAAATTATATTTTGCAGGAACTGCATTATCCTTCCAAAAATTGTCACACAGGAACATTCCTGTCCAGCTTTGTTTGTGTTTGGTATCCACATCTGCTGCCTGGAGCTGGCAGGATGCTCTGGATGCATTTGGACACTCAGGGGTGAGAGCTGCTGTGGGGGGAGCTCAAGGGTGAAGGCTGACCTGCAGTGAGGAGCTGTTTCCCTGTGAAGTTTATAAACAATATCCACACAAACAGGGCCAGGAAGTTTCCAGCACAGGAGCCAAGGGCTGGCCCAGTGCTCAACCCAGAACTCGCCCTGGCTCTGAGGGTTTCACAGGGCAGGAGCTGGGGCCAGCCCAGGCAGACAGAGCTGGCAGAAGGAAATGCACTCGTGGAATTCAGCTCCTTTCTCTGAGCAGATGACAATTCCCAAGCATTTGTTTGCCATTTAGGATGAAAAGGAAAAGCTCAAACTGAATGTAGTGAGGAGAAGCCAATAGAAGATTGATGGCAAATCTCTAAGTCCCCTTGGAGCTGATGTTTGGGAGACTGGCTGAGCTGCTTGGGGACAGCAGCACAATCCAGTGTCACCCTGCCTGGAAAGGTGAAGCTGGCACCAGCCAGCCCCTGTGTCATTAAAGATGTTCCAGGGGGAGCATTTATCCTGCATATTAAAAAACCCAAGAGTGAGCTAAAGTTTAACATTGTTGAAATAGGGGAAATTACTTCCATTGCCCCCAGTGGAAGAGAAGTTTTGGAATCTCCTCTTTGAAGGAAAATGAAGAAAAGGACTTTTCCCTATGAGCATCCACAAATCAAAGCCTTGAGATACTTGTGAAAGAGCAGAGATTTACCAGACTTTGGAAGACAATAATGAACATCATCCCAGATCTCTGGCTGCACAGACGAGGCCCAAGTCATCCAAGAAAGGCATTTGGATATTTTAATTTAATCCAGAATGGAGATTTATAGCGCATTAGGGCAAAGATAAGCAAGAATAATGTCACATTAGGCTTACAATAGTAGTAATAATGAGCTCTAAGCCCTGTTTCAAGTAGGCAGATTTTCAGACACCATTCAATGTCTTTTACAGTGTTTAAAGGAAGGCCACAAATTCACTCTGCCCTCTAGATACTGGGTTGTTTTCAAAACTCAAGACAAACAAGTCTTTCAATTAAAGAATAAAAAAGAATCTTCCCTTGAATACTTGCATTGTAAAATTTACAGCCTTTTGCCAGTGCTTAGAAAGCAGAATTTTAATTAACTATTGCCAAAACCTGAAGGAAATCCATCTGTTGTTCCCAGAGCAGACTTGCAAAGGTGTGGGGTCGTAAATTCCGTGTTCTGAATTCAGCTTTCAGCAGCCCAGGTTTTCTGCAGATTCACTGGGGAAAGGTCTCAGTTATAATTTCAGTTCCATTGGTCTCAGTTCCCAGTTTGGTGCTGGTATTCCCGGGCTCAGGTGCCCAGGAATCAGGTGTGGGCACTTCCTGAGCTTGTGTGCCCAGGGATGCCCTCAGCCTGGGCACACAACGTCCAGCCCTGCTGCAGTGTGTTCTGTTATTGTCCAAGCTAATGATTTAGTCCAAAATTATCCCCTCCTACCCACCCTGTCAATCTATCCTGAACTCCCTGTCAATCCTGCTTTGTGCCAGCCCCCTGCTTGGAATTCCCCTTTGGAAATCCCCTAAAACTGGACATCTCATTAGTCCATGTCACCCACTTTTCCCCCCTACCTCCCTCATTAGACAATGCCTTTATGAACCCTACCCTTTATTCCTCCCAATAATTCCTCCAATTTGCTATTAAGTTGTACCTTCCCCTTGAACTTCCCCCATATTGCAGTTGTTGCACCATTGCTCTTTTGTCTTTTGCCCCCCGGATTCCCCAGAGTAATAAATCCTTTTTATCCTGTACAAAAGAGCTCTCCCTCCTCCCTGCCTCCTTCAAACACAATGTGACATGGAGCCATGGAGCCATAGTTCTAGGCACATCTAAGGCCTCCTGTTCCTGGGGTGTGACCCACTCTAGGCACAGGACTTTAGTGACAAAGTGAGAGCAGCTCTGGCCGTTGTGTCACAGCCCTGGGCTGAGGCATTGCTTTATATCCCCTAAAATCCTGGCTGAGGCATTTCTTGCTCCCCCAGAGCCCTGTGCATGTTCCTGATCCATGCTCTCATCTTCCCAGGATCTGAGATGGTTGAGCTTTGTCTCAGAGCTGGCCCAGCTGTTCATGACACATCAGACATCTCCAAAGTTTGAACTTTTTTGCAACCCTCTGCAGCTGCAGCAAAACATGAATGTGCAGCTCAGACTTGGGGCTGGGATAGGTGGGGAGCAGCAGCAGCACAGGAAACATCTGGCAATGCTGATAGCTCTGACAGGACTCTGCCAAGGGGAATGTGGTACCAGCTCTTGCTGGGGCTCTCTGATCTGATGTCCTCTCCAAATTCAAAGGCTGATTGCTTTTTTTAACAACCACTGCTGTAGGCACTGATCTCCTGGGCCCAGAGCTGCAGCCAGGCTCAGAGCGCTCCTACGTCAGCACAGCTGGATAAAGATCCCACAGCTGGAGCTGTGCTGGCAGCCAGGGGTGCCCAGAGAGCACAAATCCACCCTGCCCCCACAGCTGGGGGGTGACAGGGGCAGTGGGGATAGAACTGTATTCCTGCCCCAGGGGGAATAACTGACTCACACCCAGACAAGCTGCTCTGCTTTAGCAACACTGTTTTATTTTATTTTATTTTATTTTATTTTATTTTATTTTATTTTATTTTATTTTA